CAACGAAATTATATTTTAAAAAAATACTGAATATTAAAATCTAAATAATAAAACTTAGAACAAAATTAATAAATTTTAAAATTTAAATAAATTTATAATAGAAAAATATATTATACTAATATCCAGACTATAAAACAGCTAAAATAAAAAATATTTTTATTATTATATTAATTAGAATTAGTCTATATTAAAAATTTAATTGATAATTTTTATATTAAACTAAAAAAAATAAGAAATAATAAAATATTAGTTTTATAAATAACTAATATTTTCTTATTTTAAATCAAACTGTAGTAGTCATAGTATTAAATTAAATTAATAAGATAATTATAAGCTGTTAAATAATATTTTAAAAGTTTATTTTATTTATTAACTTTTTTAAAAATACTATTAAAGATATTATAAATAAGAAAAAAAGCAAACTAGTATTATAAAAAAATATATTATATTACTTTTTAAAAAAAATAAGATATTAATAGTATTAAATAAAAATAAAATCTATAATTTAAATAATAAAGTCTGTGCTCTTAATTAAATCAAAAATAATAATAATAATAATATTTCATACTATTTTAATAAAGATATAATAAAATAATAAGATTATTGCTAGAATAAAAAGACTATTTTATTAACTTTATTTATTTCTTTTATTTTATTTTATTTATTTTATTAGTTCTGTTTTATTATTTTTTTGTTTTTTTTCGTTTTTTTTATTCTCTATATTTATACTTAATATTTTATATTCTATACTTAAAAGAAATAATAATTTTATACTGTTATATTATCTTAATATCTTCGCGTCTTAAGGGCTTCCAGCCCAGCGTATTAACAGCAAATATATAAGAACTTTTAGAAAAAAATAATTATTATAATTATTATAATTATTTTTATATTAGTTTTTTAATAATCTTTAATAGTTATTCTAATTTTAATAAATATTATTACAGTAATTCTAGTATAGATTATTAACATATTTTTTAAAGAATTATTTTTTAGTAGTTATTATTATAATAATTATTATTTCTATATTAATATTTTTATTAGATATTCTATTTATTATTTAATTATTTTTATTTAAAAATTTATCTTATTATTTAAATAGCTAAGACATTTAACTATTATAATAATCTATATAAATAAATTAATACTAGCTATAAAATTAAGATAAAATATATTTATATTAATATTAACTTGTTATAAATATTATTAATATAAAAGATCTTATAGTTGTATATAAAATTCTAAATAAATATTTAAATAGACTTATTGTAATATATATTTATTTATCTATAATTTATAATAGCTTATAGACAAGTAAATACTTATATAATATTAAACTTAAATTTAATATAAAATTTTTTAAATATTTTATTTTTTAAACAGTTTATATATATATATATATATTAAATTTACTAAATATAAGATACCAGTTGAAAACTATATTTTAAAAATATTTAATAATACCTATCTATATTTCAAATTCTTAATATATATAAACTATATCTTCAATATAATTGATAAAAAGATTAATATTTTTAGAATATATAATATATTCTTATGATTTAAAATACTGGTTCATTTTTATATTAGGGAAAAAACTAATATTATTAGATTTTAAAGTTTAAATATATTATACTAGCTGTCTGTTTTTTTCATATTAGTTTTATTTTTTATATCTTATATATTCGTTCTAATTATATTAATTATATTTCTATTTAAGATTTTAAAGATTTTGTTTATATTTTCTAGCTTTATTATAATATTAGCAAGCTATAATTATAATTAAGCTATATTATTTTATTTATTTCTTACCGGACTATTTTTTTACTTCAAAAAGTTCTAATTTTAATATTTTAATATTAATTATATTAGTATTTTAGAACTCTGTTTGTATACAAGCTAGTATAAATATAGTTAGATTAAAAAATATAGATAAATTAAATAATAAAAATATAAAAAAAGAGAATTAAAAAAAACTCTAATAAAAAATAAAAAAAATATTTTTTTAGATTTCTATTTCTTAGACTGTTTGTTACTATCTGAATATACTAAAAATAAATATTTCTTAAATAAAAAAAAGATAGTAGATTTAAATCTATGAATAATATTAATTTAAAAATAGTTAAAAAAATATAAAAAAAGAAAACTATAGAAATAGAAAATTCAAATTAAAAAAATATTTTCGTAATGTTTAATATAATAAAAAAACTTTCTTATAGAAGTATAATAACTTAAACTTAATAAAAATATATAAAACTTATATAAGTAATATAAATATTTCTAATGTTTATTTTAGTATCTATAAGTTTAAATATTTAAATATTTTTTTAAACTTCTTTTACAAAAAGTCTTAAAAAAATATTAAATCTTTTTCTAGTATTTAAAATCTTAATATAGAAAGATCTGCAGATATAATTTTTAAAAGTTTTAATAATATAATACTAGTTAATCTTAATCTTATATATTTAAAAGATTTATTTAGATTAATATTAAAACTAATTATTTAACTAGCTAAAATATATGTACTATTTCCGTAAAAATAAATTTTATAAAATATTTGAATTTTTAAATAATTTTATTAAGTACTAAATACTTAATATGCTAGTTAAATAAATAAAAAATTATATCAGCTAATTTAAATAGTTTTAAAATTTTAATAATATAAATTATATAATATATAATATTTTTATTTCGTTATTAAATATATCAGTTGTTCGATATATTATAGAATATTATAATTTAATATTATACTTTTATATATTTTAGTATTTTTATATTTATATTTTTTTGAAAAAAATAATAATATTATAAGACGGGAATATAGAGATGTAAGAATATAGTATATATATAATATATAAAAAATAAATAAAAATATAAGAAGATAAAATAAAAAAAATAGTTAACATCCTAGTTTTTATATTATTTATATATAAAAAACGCAAGCTTGATAAAGAAAAAATATTAATATTTTAAAAAAATAATTTCTAATATTCTAAAAAAATAGATATAAAAAACCTAGAGTTATACTAGATATACTACGAACTTATAACTATACGGTTATATATAAAAATATAAAAAAGAAGCTATAGGCTATATATATAGAAAGACATAGAGATAGGAGATATAGAGATAGAAGATATAAAAACAGTTAACGAGTAAGTCTGAATAATATTAATACTATATATACATATAAGCCAGTAAATAAATATTTTCAACTTTTTCAAACTAATAGATATATTACTTATAATATAAAACTATAGATATATGATAGAAATAAATAAATAAAAAACAAAAGAGATATATTATTAAAACTATTTAATACAAGATTTAGAAAGATAAAAACATAAGATATAGATTTGGTAAGAATAAGTTATATATAAATTAGTATAAATAGATTATAACACAAGAATAAGAATAAAGTAAAATAAATAATCTATAAAAACAAATGTAGATATAAACAGTAGAATATTAGAAAATACAACCGGAAGAAATCATAAGATATTAAAATAAAAATAAAAAAATTAATGCAAAAAACCTAGGATCAATGAGAAAAAATATAAAAATAATATATTTATAAGAACAAAAAGTCCCTAAATTATTATAAAAAGCAGAACATGCTATCAGATTATTACAGTATTCGCTATGCGCAAGGATTATATATGTTAATATAAATATAATTACAATAATCAAGAAAGAAGAAAGTCTTGGAAAGTCAAGACCACCAAAAGATGCCCGAAGGCGGAAACAAACAGCAGAATATCAACATCACAAAAACCACAACAAGTCTTTACAGATTTCATAATTATTAGATATATTATTTAAAAAGTTAAAGATATACCATTATAAAAATTATAGAAAAATAAAAATATATTCTAGTATTAATATGATTTTAAATCTTTCTAAGTATACAGCTGTTAAAAGCTATAAATAACCTATACACCGTACAAAAAAGAGTTGCATATATAGACAGAAAGATAAAAACAGTAGAATAGGAGGACCAAATTACCATTAGCAACAATCTATATATATAAAGATATAGACTATTACTTTTAGAAATAATATATTTTACAATATCATACTATTACTGATAGAAGACAAAAACATTAGATGAAAGATAATATCCAAACATATTAACACTACTACCACACTTAAGCACCGTATTCTGTATTATAGTATATTAATATAAAATAATTAGTAAAAAAATGACAAAGTACTAACTACCATACCACTTTTGCATAGAATAGGCTGAACTTAGGTAGATGCCACAGAGCACCCCTAGCCTATCGTAGGTGCTAAGTTTGAGTTTTTCCACCCCTCTGTAATTGAAAATAATAGGAACACCTTCGTCTGAGTTTGTCCCACATAGCACCAACCCTGAGGCATACATCTGGGCTCCCCAAAGTGATTGTTGTGCTTTCAAACACACGAAGTACTACTCATCAAAGAGATAGATTCACGGAATCCTAGGGCGTGTGCACTGTTCCCCAGCCGGAGTAAGCGACAGCTTTGTTCGTTAGGTGCCTTGGAGTGACAAATTACATAAGTATCCGTGCCGAACTGGCTATAGAATTTATGGGATACTCCAGCCCAAATTCTGGACATGCGAAGCGACAAATTATAGACTGACTTATTCATGCCACGAATAAATGAAAGGCAGCCACAGCTCAAACAGCTGGTCCAGCCTCAAGCTGACCGAGTGTGCGATCATAACCCGGTGACCCAGTGACCACGGTACGGCGCTCAGGGCCATTCACACCGCGGCTTTGCCTAGGAGTCCGTGGGCGAAAAGGACCTGAAGAGAATAGGCCAAGTCTGCTGCCGCCTCGACTAGGCCGTAGCGCTATTTCAGCTGTGTTATCTAAATCGTGGCCGTCGCCAACGCCAGGTCTTCGCCATTGTCCGAGTCGGGAGAAGGCGGTCCTGAATGTCGGTAGCACTTGCCGTGCGCGCGGTGACACTGTAGGAGGCCCAGCGCTACTGATTCGGCCTCCACCCAAGAATACAGATTGAGGATAAGCTGGCACGATGAGACGACGGCCGGTGCGTTCTTGGTCGATGGCAGATTCACGAGTTTCCGCACGTGGCTTGGGAACATAGTAATCCGCCTTGCATAGTGGACAACAAGCTCTTCTACCTGTTAGCCAAGGGTCGACACATGAGGCATGAAATGCATGGCCACAGGTGAGCCCACGTATGTCATCATCGTCCTCAATAGAATCAAGACATATGGCACAGGTGTCACCAGGATTCGCCAGAAGTTCGGCGGGAATAGCCGTACGTATTTGATTTCCGACGTCGTCATCGTCATCGTCCGTGGGCTGGGAGGGCGGTCAGCTAAGAGCAATATTTTCCGAGGTTTGGTACTTTCCCTGACATGGGTTTGAGTTCCGACAAATCCAGAGCTCCCCTTTTCCCCTTTATCTAGGGGCACTTCAATACGTGGAATTTGTTCTTTGGTCCGAGACACAGCGGATTCAAGCTGTAGATTATCGTTCAGCTGTGGTGTTGGCGCGGCAAGCGCGTCAAAAGATGCGGTAAAGCGGCCATGGCCATCATCTAGGTTATGATCACCGACAATGGAGGCTGCAATACCACCGGCAGTAGAGAGACCTTCGTCAGCGCGGGAAGAACGCCAAGCTTTGTATTTGACGAGTGGGAAACGCTCGTTAACCTCGTCCATACTCATCAACTTCTTTTCGCGCCGTCGCCGATGTGTCCGAGGCATGGCTAGTAAATCTATGGGTTCCCCTGATTCTTCACCGCGAATTTGTCGGTTCCGCTGATTATATCGGAAACAATACTTGACTCCAACGATGATCCTATAGCAGCGATTAATCCCGCACAAGTATCCCAGCAAGAGCGACAGGAGCACACCATAGATTTGTGAAAACAACACCGAACCCAAGTGCAACAAAGAATAGCAATGGTGAGCTTGTAGGGCTGGTATTGTTACTGGCCCCATTATGATCAGTGTTGGTTGCACTGGGAGATGAAATAGTTGTTGTAGAAGACATCTTGTCCAAGGAAATGTAATAAAGTTAAAGGTATGAGAGGTATTGCCTCTCGCAAATCAAGAAGGCAAACCACGAAGAGTCAATTCAGAAGACAGTCCGTATAATCATGGGAGGGGGGAGGATTCCTTGTATGGTGTTAATCGAGTCAAGGCTACGCCTTCAGACTGACATTATAGTCTCAAAGGACAAAACCCACGGTGGCAATGCAGCTCATCTAGGCGGAGACCACAGGGGAGGAGGGACGGTGGAAGAAAAGAGCCACAGTTCAGCACTGATTCAATTCAAGGTAAGAATCTGAAAACCCTGTCCAGGCATGGAGGAGACATGGATCGTGTACGCCGTACATTTACCACTGGAATAAGATCCTAAGGGAGGGTTCCTCCACACCAGGCTTGCAAATGGCTGAGGTTGCAACAACAAGTCACGAGACAAGTACTATGATATTAGTTAAAACGGTGCCGCAATGACTAACTTACAGCCGGCCTGTAGTTAGTTACTGTACCCATTTATGTAGTCAGCAGGTTTTAGCCTTCTGTTCACCTTGCTACACCCACAGTCGCTAAACATCCCATTACAACAACATGAGACAGTAGAAGGAACATTGAGGCGATTTCGGAAAAATGCCCAGTTTATGCCGGTTAGATAATGTACTACTCATATAGATCGGAAAGTGTAAAGTGGGGAATGATGCAAATTTCCCAAAGCTAAGACCAGAATGTACTTGTTGGTATTCCGTAGTTTTGCAATCTTGAATTCCAATGTCTTGTGCGTGTTAGCGACAAGCAGAGTGAACTCAATACTACAAACATAATTCCGCCCATTTGGTTAGTTCCATTTAACAAACGCGGGGGAAAGAGAATCAAAGTCAAGCATGGAGCAGGACACTAGCTTCCCCCATAAAGATGCCAACCCAGTGGTTTTCTTCGATGTGGCCCTAGGAGGTAAGTCGGAGAGGAGTGTTTCTAATTTGTATAGCCAAGTCACACCCATGAGCTGGGGCAGGCTCACCACGGAAGTACCATTTATGTTTTAGGTCAATGTCAGGTTACTAAACGAGGAATCTAGGGGAGCCTCTAGGTCGTATCAAGATGGAGCTTTTTGCGAACGTCACTCCGCTCACAGCAGAAAACTTTCGTCAGTTTTGTACTGGAGAGAATAAAAACTCCCAGGGGCGATCCCAAGGATTCAAGAATTGCAAATTTCATCGCGTGGTTTGTTCAAATTCGAGTTTCACCTCTTGTGTTCCAGAGCTGACTTGACTAAGATCAAAGATTTCATGATCCAGGGAGGTGATTTTATCAATGGCGACGGGACAGGTTCCTGTACCATATACGGAACTCCGAGGTTTGCGGACGAGAATTTTTCACTTAAGCATAAACATGCAGGCATGCTAAGCATGGCGGTATGTTTCTAAACCTTTGACGTATAGCGAGCTTGACTACTAACAATGCAGAACTCCGGCCCTAACACAAACGGGTGCCAATTCTTCATAACCACTACTGCCACCCCGTTCCTCGATGGTAAGCATGTTGTTTTCGGCCAGGTGGTGGACGGGATGGAGATCGTGCATATGATCGAAAATACACGCACAACCAGAGACAAGCCCAACCAGGATGTTGTCATTATGCAATGCGGCGAGATGTGATGAATTGTAGTTCGTGCTGGAAAGCAATTACAAAGCTTAAGAAACATCCGTAATGACCACTTTACAACATTCAAGTATTTGTGAATAACACTGGGAGTAACGTTGAAGAATTATGCTTGTCAAAGACATGCATCCCTCGTGGGAGGGAAGGAATATGAACAAAAGCACAAGTAAATCTGGCAACTTTTGATGGCCAAACATAAAACTGTAAACATTCTAGAGTTTGAACTTAGTGATATAGTCGCATGCCAGATTTATGGCTTCATCAACCTTATCAGGGTTCACGCCGTTGCCAACAGAAGTGGGACCCTTGCCTCCAGCCTTGCCTCCGACTGCACTAGACACAACAGTGGCCCACTCCGTGGCAGAAGCGCCTTGATCACTTGTTGCCTAATGATAAGCATTCAAGTTAGCCGCACAAGAAGGAACTTGTCAAGGAAGGAAAGCGAACGGCAGAAGTTGGGTTCAGGGGGGAGGGAGCGTCTACCTTAGAGACATGACAACCATGTGCTACACGGCCTTGCTCTGGGCTTGCAGCCAGGACATAGACGGTCTTGTCAGACAATTTTGCCTTGACATAATTAATCGCTTCGCTGACAGCCTTAGCGTTGGCGGAAATAGGAAGCTGAGCCACAAGCCAAGACTTGTCGCTGTTTGCTGGGTCCTGGAAATAGCTAGTAACACTTTCGACAGCGGTTTTGGACTCAAGCTTCTGCTGCGCCTTTTGGTCATCGAGAATCTGTTTATTGATGCGAGCGAAGCGTTCTCGGAAGCCAGACTTCTGGAGAGCTGAGATTGACAGCTGATTCAGCTCCGCCTGGATCTGCTTTGCATCCTTCTCTTTATCCGAGCCAAGGGGCATGGCCTCAAGGCGATCGAGACGCTTCCTAAAGTCCTCTGCAAGGCGCTGTACGGTGTGCGCATCTTCTCCAGTGACAGCAATGATGCGGCGAATCCCTTTAGCGATACCTCCTTCTTCGAGAATGATGAGGTCCTTGATATCACCTGTTTTCTGCACGTGGGTTCCACCGCAGAATTCGATACTCACTTCATCCCATCTCGGATCTTTCACATTTTCTAGGATCTCTCCAATCTCCACTCCAACAGAGACAACACGGACTGGATCGGGATACGTTTCCCCAAATACGGCCCGGACTCCTGAAATTTGGCGAGCAGTAGCGAGAGGAACCTCTTGCGAGTAGACCGCACAATTTTGACGAATATACTCAGTCGATATCTCCTCGATTCTCGCCAGATCTTTGTCCGTTATAGGCGATTTGTAAGAAAAGTCGAACCTAAGCTTTTCGGCCGCAACAAGGGAGCCCTTTTGCTCGATACCGTCACCCAATACTGACTTTAGCGCGAAATTGAGGATATGTGTGCCTGTATGATTATTGCGAATTGGCCACCGACGGAGTTCGTCGTACTCGCAAATAACCGTATCTCCAACAGCTAGTGACCCATATTTCATGAAACCTGTGTGAAGGACATAGCCAGCATAAAGCTGAACATCACCAACCTCAAGCTCGGCTTTGCCATCAATGATAATTCTGCCGGTATCATTCTCTTGCCCACCCTGCTCCGCGTAAAAGTTGGTGCGGTCAAGAATAATTCCAAGTTGTTCACCGTCGGATATGTCTGCGGTGGACGAGTGGAATGCTTTACCTTGATAGATGGCCTTCACTTGGGCGTTGATGTTGCCCTTGCCAAACTTGGCCGTATCGTCGGTCTTGGTAACGTCACTCATCATTTCTAGCTTGCCCAAGTCATGAACGTCCAACTTGACTGTATCGGCTGCCGCTTTTTTCTGGCCCTTACTCGCTTCCTTCGCTTTGAGGCGCGCCTCCTCAAATTCCCTATCGTCGATCTGCAATCCACGTTCTTCTGCCATGATGCGGGTTAAGTCGACAGGGAAACCGAAGGTATCATAAAGTCTCCAGACGTCGGCGCCATGAAGTTTCTCATCCCCTTTGGCCTTGGCTTGCTGAGCATAATGTTCAAACTGGCGCTCACCACGATCGAGTGTCTTTGCGAAAGACATCTCCTCCTCGTCAAGGATTTCCATAACGTCAAACTGCTTTTTCTTCAGCTCTGGGAACATGTCGCCGAGTTGTCCCACAACAGTAGGGACAAGCTTCGAGAAAAAGCTTCCAATCTCCACCTGGAAGTACTTGCGAGCGTAGCGTGCCCCTCTACGCAATACTCGGCGAATAACATACCCACGGCCCTCGTTGTTGGGCATCACGCCATCTGAGATAGCAAACATCAAGGTACGGACGTGATCTGCGATGACACGGTACGCAGTATCTATGCCGTCGGCGTCGTCGGCGCCAAATTTCCCGCGATATTCGCGGGCTCCGGTGACATCCTTGATAACCTGGAATAGAGGTGAAAAAACGTCCGTGTCATAATTAGACAGCTTGTCTTGCAGTACCGATACGAGTCTCTCGAATCCCATCCCAGTGTCGACATGCTTGTTTGGAAGTGGCCGTAGAGACCGGTCTGACTCGCGATTATACTGTATGAAGACGTTGTTCCATATCTCAAGAACGTTGGGGTCGTCTTGATTGACAAGGTGGGCAGCATTACGCCCACCAATACGGTCATAATGGATCTCACTGCAGGGTCCACAAGGGCCTTGATCACCCATTTCCCAGAAGTTGTCCTTCATGTTTCCAGGAAGAATGTGATCTTCTGGGACGCCCACGGATTTCCAAAGCTCCTTCGCCTCAAAGTCGGGCTCCAGGCCTCCTTCCTTATTGCCTTCAAAGTATGTAACGTAGAGGCGCTGAGGATCCAGTCCATATACTTTGGTCAACAACTCCCAGGAATAGCAAATCGCCTCTTTCTTGAAGTAATCACCGAAACTCCAGTTACCGAGCATTTCAAAGAAGGTCTAAATAGCAGCTAGTTATTAGCATCGAAGTATGTGACCGTTCTAATTCGGGACCCTTACATGGTGATAACTGTCCTTGCCAACATCATCAAGGTCCTAGATTCAGTGCAGTTAGCAAGTCTATTTCGATAATCGAGTGCAGTTATATAAGATTGCAATCACATTGTGTTTTCCTCCGGCGCGAATGCACTATATAGTAGAATGATTAGCACGGCAAGGCGCAGCAGGGGTCAGGAAAGCATCCGCCACCTTCTGAGAGTTGACTGCACTTCTAAGGTTGGCAAAGTCGGATTGAGGATCAACTGTGCCCAAGAAGATAGACTTGAACTGGTTCATTCCAGCATTGGTAAATAGCAGTGTTGGGTCGGCGTGAGGCACAACAGGCGACGAGGGAACTATGTGTGCCCGGGAGGTGTGAGCTAATTCAAAATGTTTTCACCAGAGGAAGTCATATTGCTCACCAAATGTATGGCCATTTCCCTTGAAATATTGGAGAAATGTATCTCGAACTTTTTTGGACGTCCATTCCACCGTTGGCGGGTCGCTTGAAGCCATGCTGAATGATCTTATGTTGAGCTTTCCTGGTGGTTTGTTCCAAGGCGGGGGTGTGTGAAGGTGGTAGAATATTCTGGGTCTTGACCTAAAGCACGATAAAAGATGAGTCAAAGCCAGTTCCCCGTCCCACGAGAACCTGTGGATATTCATCAAGAAATTCGCTCAGTTAATACATCCTTCTTCATCCAGCAACAAATAATGGGCTCGTTTGTCGCTTGACTTTCCGTGTCTTACGTCCAATATAAAGCAAGTCAAGTACCCTGTAGCTGATGGCATTGCAACCTGGTTGTGTGGGCAATTATCGCGGGAAAAAGCGCCCCGCAGAAACTGATCCTGACAATGACCAGCCTTTGACAAAAAGGTTCAGTCATCTACAATTAAGTAAGTACATGACGCCTACCCTTAATGAGATGAGCAACATTAATTCTGGGAAATACTCTGGAAGATCATGTCACTGATGAAAAAATGTTTCTAGCTCCTCTGACACTTCAAGATGACACCTTGGGCCGGCCAAAGCTCGCCACGTCTCATCAGGGCGATCGGATGATGCTTGATGATACCAATCATACAATTTATATACATGACTTGGAGATGGAGCTACAAGATCTTGAAAGTTTGGACAATGAAGTATCATTTCTGTCGGGTGTGGTTGATACACTGTCTACAGTTCCAAGAATGCTGGTGGCCGACGACCAGGCTCACTGTACAGAGCTGGTACTTTACAGTGAGCCCGTACCGCTTACAGCTCCAAAAGAAGATGATAATGTCCGCAAGGCCCTTGTTGCTACTAGGGAGCGCGCCCGGCAGAAACATCATATGAAGCACGGTTCCCTACAACCTCATCAATCAATTGTCCCGAATCTTGTTGCAGGCAGATGTGATGGTATTACAGATCCGATGTGCTACAATGAGAGAATGGAAATTGACACAAACAATTAATACCAATACGGTGTATTATATGATACACCGGTACCAAGCTAAATCCCAGGGACTATTGCTACACAGATACTAGAGGCGGTAACATAGAACCGGGCCACCCGCGTTTCCACCAAAATACCCATACAACGCGTTCTTATTCAATAATGTGTATAAAAACAGTTCTAATTTTTAAGATAACCAGTAAGTATTAATTTATATATAAAAAACATATAACTGACTAATACGGAATATTAGAAATTTTAAAATTCTGAGACTATATATAAATTTGCTTTAAAATTCTTATTACTGTTATACAAGTTCTTCTTATCTCCTAAATTTTTTAATATTTTACATTATACAAGTTTGTTTGTATTATCTTTTTCTATACTAGGCACTATAAAGTGGAAAAGATAAAGCTGGAATTTAACTATTTATATAGAAAAAATTAATATAATAATTAATATTATTTAAACCGGTAAATTTAGTATATTATGGCTATTGCTGATATATTTACTGTCTGGAGGCTATTATTCCTACTATATATTATTTTAAACAACTTTATATTTTTTATAATTTATTATATTTTATCTATAATTATTCCAGTTTTTATAGATTTTCTTTTTGAAATAACTATTTTTGATATACTTAATTCTATAATTTATTTATGTTAATTAGTAGTATACTTTATTTTTATTTTTATTATCTAAATTTTGAGTATATTTGACAATTTTTATATTTTATTTTTAATATTATATCTATATATCTTTTTATCTCTTATTTTATAAATATATTTAATTTTATTGATTTTTAAATTATTTTTAGTAAGCCGTCGGTTGTCTTCTCTTTTTCAACAATATATTTATTTATTTATATATTTATTGATTCTTATATTTCTGCCTTTTAAAAATATTATTAATATTATCTTTTTTATTAATATAAAAGACATTTTAGAATTTCTTATTTAATTTTAACTAACTTTCTTTTTTAATATTATGTTTATTCTATATAAATTATTTATATGACATTTTTGAATAAAAATATTTTATATTTAATTATTTTAGTTATATTATTACTAATATTTTCCAATATTACTATGTATATTTAATTCTTATTAAAAAACGTATATAGTTTTAAATATCTAGTATTTTTATAAGATTTATATTCTATTATTATTGATATTAAAGTTAATTATATTAATATATTATATAATATATATATTAACTCTAACTATTTAACTATTATTATTGATAAAAAATTTTATTATATTAATAATAATTAATATTTAGTTATTATCTAAAATATTAAATATTGAAAATCTCAGCTCCAACTATTAAACAGAAAATATATCATATCTTAAATAAATTTTTTTATTTAAATTTGTTAATTAAAATAATTTGTATTTATTTATAATACCATCCAAGCCTAAATAATATTTAATATAAGATTTTATCTATTTATTAAAAATGATATTATAAATTATAAAGATATTATTTTTAATATAGAATATAATATAAATATAATATATTTATATTAAAACTTTATATTCATAATCTAATATAAAATTATAAACTATATTAAAACTTATATAATATTCTGAAAGCATATTATTATAATATTATATTTAAAAATCTATATTTTTATTAAAATTAGATATTTAAAACTTTTTAAAATAAGATTATATTTTTGATTTAATAATTATTATATCTATTAATACTACTATATTATATATATCTAATTAATTATAAGTTCTTTTTTATTAAAATATTTGATAAGATTTTTTAATTTATTATTCTAGTTTGTTATAATTATTTAAATATTTTATTTAATAATAAACTTATTAACATATATTATATTAATTATAACTATACTAAATATATCTATATATATTAAAAATAATAAAAAGCTGAATAGTTATATAGTTATTAATTTAGTTAATTATAATTGTTATTATTATATTTTTAGAAATTTAGTAAATATATATATTAATTGATTATATCTAGTATACTCAGGTGCGGCCCTATATAAAACTATATCTAAGTAGCTAAAAACACTGGTAAACTATATATAAACATGAATTTTTTATTTTAACTAGTTAGTAGTTCTAGTTATATTAACTTGTTTTATATATACTAGTTGGCTTTTTTAGCTTTAGTTTATATATTTATAAATTAATTTATATAATAAAATAATTCTTTATAAATAATCTTATTTAAAATTACTAACTAGCTTTTTTATATTAACCGGTTTTTTTATATTTAATCTGTATATATATAGGCTGATTTAAATAATAAAATAGTTTTTAATAAATAATATTATTTAAAATTATTAACTAGCTTTTTTAATTTTTATTTTTTTATTTAGAATTATTAACTAGTTTTTTTAATTTTTTTATTATATTTTCTACTTATTTTTATTTACTGTATTTTATTAGCAAGTCCGAAAGCCTATACCGGATTAGTTATATATAATATCTTTTTTAATTTGTTCTTTTTTTAGTTAATTAGTTTTATTATCGGCTGCTGTTTAAACTAATATAAAAAATATTAATAATTAATTTTTTGATTTTATTAATTAAATAGTTATTAATTAATTATATTTGTAATAAATTATTAGATATTATTAATTGCCGAACTAAATAGTTAATTAAAAAATAATTAATAAAATATTAATAATTAGTAGATATTATTAAAATATTTTTTAAAATATATTAAGCTTTTAAAAATTATAATATATTTATTTTACTAAAGACTCTATTTTAAGATTTTTTAATATTATTATTAATATTATTAATAATAAATAAAATAATTAGCGTTGTATTTGACTTCTTGATGTCCTCTCAGGCTGGCGGAGTAATGTTCTCTCTTACCGCCTTCAGGCTGGCGATATTATATAGACAGTTAAACTAGTAAATCTTAGAAGAATTAATAATTAGTAATCTATTTTTTTATTACTTTCTTGAAGGCTTGAAGCTAATATTAGTAGTATATTTTACTATAATTCTTAGTTTATTTAAGAATTACTTACTTAATCAAACAGCTAAGAAAGTACTTTATATTAGTTTATTTATTTAGATAAGTATTTTATTAGTAGAATATTTATAGTACTACTAATATACTCTTTTTTAATCTTTATATTCTTACTTATTCTATTTTTTGCTTATTTTATCGATTTTTTGATTTTTTTATTTATTATATTTTTTATATATCTTATTGTGTTCTCGAGTCTATGTTTTTTTTTGTATATTTAAACTACTATAGGTTATATATCCGACTAAATTCTTAATTCTACTTTTATATAATTAGTTATATATAATCCTATCTACTTCCAACCAGTATATATATTAATATATTCTAATAATATTATCCGGACTGTCTATCAAATATTTTATTTTATAAAAATAGAATATAAAAATATTATAAATATTCTTACTAAAGTTCTAACAGTCGTATAAATAATTATTTTTTAAATATTATTATAATTTATAAATATTTTAAAAACTCGAAATAGCTGAGATTAGACTATTAAAAATAAATATAACTATTCTATTAAATAAATAAATAAAAAGTTTTTAAAAATAATAATTTATAGATTCAAACTTATTATTATACTATTTTTTTATATATTTATTAATGTCTGTATTTTTATAAATATTCTTCTTTTTATTAATAATATTTAAGAAAGTAAAAATTAATATATTTTTTTAAACTAATATTTTTTTTTATTTTTATTTTATTACTATCTTTAATTAAATTAATTATATTAGTATTAGTTAAAGTAGTTTTTAAGTTTTTATCTATAATAATATTATTAGATTTAATTTTTAGACTGTTTTTAGTAATTTATTTATTTTTTTAGTATTTAGATTTATACTAGGTTTATTTATCGACTTACTAATACCGATATAAGAAGTTTAAATATTAGATAAAATAAAAAAAATTTATTTATTTATATTATAATTAATAAAAATCTTAATTAATCTATTTATAAGCTTATTTATTTTTTATTTAATAACTAAGATTATATTTACTATACTAGTATTATCTATATATTAAATATATTAATAAAAAGAAATTTAAACTTAAAATTATTATAAAAATAATTTTATTTATATTAATAACTTATATATATATAGTTCTACTTAAATAATTAATTTATATATTAATTAATTTATTTAAACTATAGATAAAATAATAATAAATATTTAAAAAACAGAATTTATATAACTATTTATTTAGACAATAGTAATAGTACTTAATATATATAAATAAAAATATACTAAATATAAAAAATAAAAATAATATAAAAAATAGAAATATTATAATAGTAATTTTTTATTATTTTTATTTCTATTTTTTGAGATAATAAGGCGGCTTTTTAATATTAGAATAGACTTTAAATATTAAATAATATATAATAATAAGCTTTGGATATTAGATATTTCTATTTAAATATATTTTTTAATTAAAAATATAAAGATTTAATTAAATATTATAAAAAAATTTATTATTAAACTATTTAAGCTTTCTATATATATTTTAAGATTATATTACTATCTAAAAATATTATAACTATAAGTTAAAATATAAATATTTTTTTATAAAAATATAAATATATAATAGACTTAATAAGTTAATAAAATATATTAGATTAATCTTATCAATTTTCGGAATATTAACTACTAGATTACTATTATTAAAAATTATTAAAAGATTTTTAATAATCGATTTTTAGAAATAGCTCGATAACTATTAATATATAATATAAAATATATATTATAACAAATTTTTAATTATTTATATAATAAAAATTTCCGGCTTAATAAAAATATATGGTATTATAAATAAATATAATATAATAATTAAAATATAATACTATATTAATTCTAAATTTAAAAAATATATTAAAAAACCTAAATAAGATATTATTTTAAAAAAAATTTATTAATAAAATAAATGCCTGCTTTATAAATTAGAAAAATAAATAAAATCTAAATATAAAAAATAAAACCTAGAATTATAACTATAATCTTAAATTTTTCTAAAAATATAATTAATATAACTGTTTATATAACTAATCCGATTATAGTTTAAATAATTAGAATAGAAATTAATATTATAAAAACTAAATAAACTTTTATAAATTAAATAATT